TGAGGGGTTAAGGGCTTCCTTTCAGATGGCCATTTTCCCCAACTTCATTGATGCGCCTATAGTTTCCGAACGCTCAGAAAAGAGAAAGGTGGGAGCGCTGTGCTGGTGCGTGTCTGGCTGCGATATCCGATGCCGGGAGGCAGGAAGAGCTTATAGCAGGAACAATATGCCGGCGGTGCCTGGCCTCGGAGTGCTGGAGCGTCCGCAGCTGTTCATTAGGAGACGTGTGCACGAGTGCGATATCGCCTCACAGGCCCCTTAATTACCACACTCAATTCATTAGCCGATGGGCCACAGCTGGAGAAAGCAGGCCGACTCGTCAGGTAGAGGCCTCAAACTCAGACAGGGCACCCAATCTTCAGGAACGGTGCCGTGGGGGGGGAGAGGGGGGATTATCTCACTCACTTGAAGCACAAGCGGGTGGAAGACAGTCCATTCCCCACGAGCGGTGGCAAAGCCAGCAGCCCGGATCCAACGGCCCGGGCCTCAGAGTTTCAGTGGCCAACAGCAAAGGGCGAGCCTGTAGGAGGGCAGCGCGCTGGGACCCCGCGCTCCTGACCTGTGGGCCCTGGAGACACCGCCACAGCGGCACCCTGACCTGGCCAGATCTCAGAAGCGAAGCCCAGGCAGGACTGGGATGGGAGGTCTCCAAGGAAAAATCAAGTTGCTGCTGGCAGTGGTTTTAGTCAACCAGTAGGGGGGCGATCTTTCCTCTTGTAGAAACGTTTCAATCCGATACCCCAGTATGTTGACCGGGGACACTGATATAGGAGGTGCCATCTACCCTGAAGACACATTACACCAGGATCTACTGACTACTTGGTCTTGAAGGTCCTGTGGCACTGTTCATTAAGCCCAGGGCCCTTGCTTAATCTCACTCTGGGATCGTAGAGTATGGCCTCTTAATTCCCTTGGTGAAGCAATTCATTGGCACTCCACCTGACCTGCTGGCGGATGACGTGGGTCCCCTCCTAAATATACAGCACTTTAGGATCCTTTAGGATAAAAAGCTCTACATGGATGCAATTTACTTTGGTTCCGAAATACTCTTGAACAAGGTACGCTACACAGAATACGAGCTAAACCAGTTGTATGAACTGCTACCAAAATTTGTATGCAAGAAAAATAGGTGACGGTAATCTCTGCGAGTCTCGTTAGGCAACACAGTCTGCCAAATTAATAACACGCAGCATGATGTATCTTGGCTTTCAGAGCT